AAGTCAAATTATCACGTGTGTATTATAATTTGGCTAAATTTATAGAAAATTTTGGATTATAGGCAAAATTATGGATTATAATTCTCAAAAATCCAAAATTTATGGATATTTTTGGATAACCCCTGAAATTTTGGATTATCTTCAAAAATTATGGAAAGTTATGGATCCATAATTTTCCGGGTCCCTGTAGTCAACTTAGGGTGATGAATTTAATAAAAAAATCTGATTGGCTAGTTTGATCAAACAGACCAATCAGATTTCCATTGATGTAAGTGTTTATAAATAATTTATCATCATCAGATCTGCAAAAATTATGATGTTATTTGTTTTGATATGATGTCGAAAAAAAACTATCTTATTCGAGCAACATTTAGCAATTGTGTCTCATTTACAATTATATAATTAATAAAACTGGTTTAAGTTAATCAAATCTAAAAGTGGTTTTACACTTAATACAGCAAATAGCTTTTAACATAAACCGACTTGCAGCAAAAACTAGTTTTGTAATGTTCAGAATAATTTTATAGTCCAAGTTTCATCAACTTTGTTGTAACATATGATAGTAGTACTGTATCTAATTTAAAAGGTTGTAGTTTCTCTGATTGAACGAATAATCGCTCTATTTCTTGCTACGTAAATTCTCCATCTTAACGTTTACTATCATCAACATCTTCGAAAATTTTTGCTACGATTACAAGTGCCTTTTCGCATATACACTTGTAGACCGGTATTGGTGCAAAAATGTCATACCAATTTTGTAGAGCGAACCCCAATACAAAGACAAAAGAATTATCAACCACAAAGAATTCAGAAGTTGGTGCCAATAATTACAGCATGCTGTATCTTACTGTATTTTCTGGCTTCTGATAACTCCAATTATATTAAGTAAAGTTCATTAGTTTGTCTTTATATTATATAAAATTTCATCCTTTATTTTTAACTTACAGATAATTGTTTTTTTTTTTTTTTTTTTTAAATTAGAATCAAGACAAAAGAGAAAAAAGTATTTTTAGAAGAAAAAATCAATAAAAAGAATTGAGGACGATATTACAGATCAATAACAGCAAGGTTGTAGCAACAAGGTATAGCAAAATATCAAGAGGTAAAATACTAATTTGTTAATTTGTGTTTATTTATTTTTTATAATTATTTAATTTTAGCATTTTTAGTGGGAGTTTGGAACTTATAGTCGAGGAACTAACAATTCTACTGCATGTAATGCACCTGGTTGGATTTACTTATTTCTGCAAGTGATACAAATCATGTGAAATAATAAATATTTATTTGTTGTTATTTTCACTAATAACGCATTAGGGTTAGAGCTGTGATAAGGCAAACTATATAGTAAAATTTAGCAAGGAATTTTTTTAATTAGATTTTTTGAGAAAGTCTTCGATTTCACATTACACAAAGGTTACACCTGATCTTGCGATCTACATAAAATTTTTCTTTTTTTGAGTTTGTATCACTTGCAGAAATAAGATATGTCACCTGGTCTTCATTTCAAGTTAATATTCCAGTTTCGGAAGTTTTTTGGGATCACCAATACCGGCTGTAATTGGATATACACCCTCTCTCAATCACTGCTGTTAATTTTAGCATTGATTTGTACCAAATTCAACAATTAGTCTTGAATGAGCAAAATATACATAGCTGCCAAGAGACATATCTTAACACTTATTATAAATGTAAATGCTCTAATTCATATATTAATTTATATCTCCAGTTGTTAAGGAACAAATTTTTAATGATTGACAAATTTATTATTTTCCAGTGGTTAAAATTTTAAAACTATAAGCGCCATAATGTAAAAAATAAGATAAACTGAGAGAAAAAGAAACGAAGGTCCAATCAACTTATAATGACATAGTGTCACGGTCAAGATCGGTTCTCCGAAAGAAGTTGGGTCTCATAGATCAGTCGGGACAATCATGCGGATAAGAATCAATTGAAGATCAATTGATGCGCATGAGGAAAAAGGAAAAATGATCGATTCATTATGTGATTAAGATGATGTAATTAATTAAAATTAAAATGTGTATATAAGAAGATCGAAAAAATAAAAGAGAGTGCAGCTAGATTCTCTTCCGCGCTTAAGAAAAGAAAAAAAAAAAAAATTACCTAATGTCACTTTCTTTCGCTCATAGTCAAAAATAAACAAATATTCTTGCAAAAAACAGTTATACAATACCCTTATGAAAAGACATGATAACCTTGGTGATTTAAACAATTCTTACTCGTGGTCAGGTAGGGCCGCGACACAGCGAAATCCCTTGTATTATAAAGGTGCTAACATAAGAGTAAAATTTACTTCTGGCAATATAAATTAGACGCATGAACCGATGCCGGCTCTTAATTAATACACTTGCCAATAAATTAAGAGACATATTTGCTGATCGTTACTAATATGACCAATTGAATTTCAGGATCAGATGTAATATAAAAATTGCATAAAAAAAACAGGAAACCACCTTCTACGGCCCAATTAAAATTCTTTACCAATAAAACACTGCATTATCTAACCCTAACGCAACTTTTACTTAGAAAACATAAAGCCTTAGCCATGGCGAAAAAAAAGTGCCTGGTCACGTGCCATGGGTCATTATTTCAGACCAATCTATTCATATACACAGACATGCGTACCCTATACTTTGAACGAAGATATCTCAGTAATTACCCATCCAAAATCGATGAAAATTTAATTCTATAATTTGTAGAATTAATATAAAAAATTTTCATCGATTTTGGACAGGTAGTTATTGAGATATCCTCGTTTGAATTTGCGGCTAAGTTAAAAATTTTACCCGTCGGCAAATATTAATAAAATCTTGTCCTCTTATTTTGCATTTTTTTCGAACCAGTTGGCAAACTCTTGACTGTATTTAGCTTTTTTATTATTATTATTATTAGCGCCTACTCGTGTTCTGTATTAAAAAGGCCCATTTTGACAATTTTTTTATTTGATTTTTGAATAGATATATATTCAATAAAAAGTTTGCTATAAGTTACCAAAGCCAATTATATAATAAAAAGATTCACAAAAAGAACTTGAAATAGTACTCAAAATTGTTTATATGTTTATTAAGAAAGCTCAACTTCTGTTCAGAACTTTTTTTTATTAATTGGCAAGAACAGTCTTTGGCATAAATTTTTGTGCAAACTAAGCATGTTACATATTGGACATTGAGAACTTAATATAACATTAATCGAACAATGTGCTGTAATAGCAATGCAAAATTTTTTATCTCTGTATAATGATGCAGAAAATACCTATTCACTTTCCTGGTCGCTCTTGATTAGCATTTGTTTTTTTTAATGTATCAAAAAAGTCACTTGAAACAATGTGATGCAAGCCGGGAAAATGAATAGGTGTTTTCAGCCCTGCTCCGAAATCGAATTTGGCCGAATAGTTATCGGCAGATTTTTTAGGGTGTCCCAGAAATTATGAAAACGACAGTAATTCTATGAATTAGTAGAATTAAAATAAAAAAATTTTCATTGATTTTGCCGAGATATCCTCGTTCAAAGTTTAAGACGATTATCAAAACAAGATTGCGGCTAAGTTTTTTTTTAAACTTTGAAATTAAAATAAAATAAAATAATCCATCGATTTTAGGTAGGTAGTTACCAAGATATCCTCGTTCAAAGTTTGAAGAAAACTTAGATGTAGTTTGATAATCGCCTTAGCTTTTTCCAAACTTTGAACGAGGATATCTCGGGAACTACAATGCCTATTAAAAATCAATGAAAATTTTTTTATTTTAATTCTATGAATTAGTAGAATTAAAATAAAAAAAGAAAAAAAATTTATCGACTTTGATAGGTAGCTAACGTAGGTAGCTCAAAGTTTAAAAAAAAACTTAGCCGCAGTCTTTTCCAAACTTTGAACGAGGATGTCTCGATAATTACCTAACCAAATTCGATGAAAATTTAATTCTACTAATTCATAAAATTAATATAAAAATTTTTCATCGATTTTGGATAGGTTACTGAGATATCTTCGCTCAAAAGTTTGAAAAAAATATGTCTATATGAATATGATTGGTCTGAAATGATTTACGACACGTGACCAGTCATAGGGTTTTAACTTTTCATTTTTATGACGCAATGAGTCATAGCATACATTCTTAGAAATCCAAATTTAAACGTAAAGAAGACAGATTTTATGTTAACAAATAATACAGTATCTGATAATTAATCTTATCAATCGAGTCTTTAGTAGATGTGTTTATTACATTATCATATATTGTCAGAATTCCGATATAAATTATTATATTTTCAGTATTTTTTAAACTATGATTGAAAAAACTAAATTAATATCAATTCCCTTTCATTAATTTTTTTTTACTTTATAGAAGAAATTCCATATTCTGTAATTGTTATATGATGAATATACATGTTTAACAGATTATATTTAACAAAGCATAGCTAAATCAAAAAATATTAATAGTATTGATCTTCTTCTTCCGAATAATGCGAATCCTCATCGGAAACTATTTCCTCAAGTTCACCATCACCTGTGGTGCGATATCTATTATATCCATGAATCATTAGTATATCAATAAGGACCTATGTATTAATACAACAAAATGTTTCCCAACAACATACTGTGTAAAACTGCCCACATCGTTTTTGACCGTCATCTTTTCAAATTGTTCAGTTAACTGTTTGAACCTAATTTCCTGTAGATATATGAATTATTAATAGGTAATTTATTATATGAAAAAAATTTTTACTATATAAGTCAAACCTCTTCAATCCGCTTTTGTTTTTCTTGTAGTTTTATACTTTCCGATAGTGGCATAATGATGATTCTCCTATTATCATGAAATTTTCTCATTTGTTCTCTTTCCTCTTTCTTTTTCTTTTCTCTTTCATTTTCAACGCTAATTACTATACTATTAAGCTGATCCTCCAACTGTTTCAACTGCAACTGCAACTGCGACTGCGACGGCAATGATTTAGATTCGAGTTTTCCAAGTTGTTTTTTGATTCGTGCATTTTTTTCATGTAACTTTTTTCCATTATCAGGTAATTTTGAAATAAGTTCCCTATAACGTTTTTGCTTAAATTATACGAATACAAAGATCAATCAGAATAGAACGTTAATTAAGGGTACACCTACTCATTTGCAAGAAGTCGAAGGTTTTTTTCAAGTTGATTTTGAAGATCTTTTTGTGAAAGCTTTGTTATATCTTTTGTATCTCTTGGAATGAAGAATGATTTCTGTGTAGAGGCTTTTGCTTGATAAGCTCGATAAGACAGATAAGACAAAGACAAAGTATCTGTGACTTCTAAAGTGTGTGAAGATGTTTAGTAGCGAAATTTATTGTATTCACACCATATTGTGAGCTATTGGACTTTACCTCTCTTCTGAGGCATTATTAATAGGTTTTTACGAGTATTCAGTTATCACAACACAATTATGCTTTATTTATAAATACAGAAATACTGAAATAGAGTGTATCTATGTGTGTTGCAAATCATATGATGTCATGTAAAATCACTGAGAAATATCTGGCCGCAGCTCTTCTTTCTATAAATGATTAAACTTCGAATGATTACTTATACTTACCTGATCAAATTTTAATTCTATGAATTAAAATAAAAAAAATTTCATCAAATTTGGTCGAGTAAGTAATCTTCATTCTATAGAAAGAAGAGTTGCGGCCAAATTTTCTTTAACAACTATTTGCTCAAATTAGAGAAATTTTTTTTATTTTAATCCCGCAACTTTATACAGTAGAATTAAAATGAAAAAAAAAGTCATCGAATCTAAATAGATGGCCATCAAGAAATCTTTAAATAAAAATTTTATTATAATTTGAAGATTTCTCGATAACCATCTAAATTCAATAAAAATTTTTTATTTATTTTAATTCTGTAGTTTATATAATTAAAATAAAAAAATTTATCCAATTTAAACAGGCAATTATCAAGAAATGTTCTTTAGACGCAGTTCTTCTTTCTATAGATGCTTAAACTTTAAATGAAGTTTACGCGATATTTACTTGACCAAATTCGATAAAAATTTCATTTTAATTCTATGAATTCATAGAATTAAAATAAAATAAACTTTTATCAAATTTGATCAGGTAAGCATTAAGTAATCATTATTTAAAAGTTTAAGTATCTATAGAAAAAAGAGTTGCGGCAAATTTTTCCTTAGCTTTTAATGAATATTTCTCGACAACTACTTCAAAATTCGATGAAATTTTTTTATTTTAATTTTACAAACCTAAGAATCAAAATAAAAAAAATTTGATTGAACTGGATAGATGGCTGTTGAGTAATCTTCATTTAAAGTTAAAAAAGAAAAAAATTTTCTGATTTTGTTCTTCGATATTCGGTTTTTTTAAACTTTTACTGATGGTTTCTCAATAACTATAAACAAAACTCAATAAGCTTTTTTTTTTATCTTAATTCCGCAAATATACTGAAAGAATTGCTAAATATTATCAAGTAGTGAAGTTGTAAAAAATTCAAAATTTTTAAATTATCCTTATCGGAAATGATATTATTTGGAAGTTGACAAATTCGAAAGTTTTATTTGTACACCATGTGTATGTACACACATATATTGATATCTCAAAATCCTGATTATATAATAGCTTTTGAGGTTCTAACAAAAAATATTCCTTGCAAAATTTTAATATATACTATAACCTCCTCTAACCCTAAAACTACTCTTAAGCTATACTAATTTTTCGTTTACGTACAATTTATATGTTAAGCAAATTCGTAAATCAATAAATTAGTATAGGTGTATATGTAAATTAAGAAATTTTCTTCTCAATAACTACTTGATTAAATTGGTAAAATTTTTTATTTTAATTCTATATTACTGTGTAATTAAAATAATTGAATTTTGATTCAGTAGTTGTTGAAAAATCATCGCAAAAAAATTTTTTTAAAAAACAAAATATCGAAAAAAAACAGATCGGGTAAAATTTTTTTTCTTTGAACTTTAAACGATGATTTCTCGACTAACAATTATTCAAATTTGATGAAGCTTGTTTATTTTAATCCTGTGGGTTCATAGAGTTAAAATAAATAAAAAATTTGATCGAATTAGAATAGCTGGTTGTCGAGAAATATTCATTAAAAGTTAAAGAAAATTTGGCCACAGCTTCTTTTTTAGAGAAATCAAAACTTTGAACGAAGATTACTCGGCACTTACTTAGTCAAATTCGATCAATTTTTTTTTTTATTTAATTCTATGAGCATATAGAATTAAAATAAAAAAAATTGATCGAATTTGACTAGATTAGTGTCGAGTAACCTTCGTTCAAAGTTTTGATTTGATGTCTTTAAAAAAAAAGAAGCTGCGCCAAATTTTTCTTTAATATTTCTTGACAACCAGCTAGTCAAATTCGATCAATTTTTTTTTATAATTTAATTCTATGAACCACTGAATTAAAATAAAAAAAGCTTCAAATTTGAATAGTTGTTAGTCGAGAAAAGGTTCAAAGAAAAAAAATTTACCCGATTTATTTTTTTTTTTCCGATATTTTAAGTTTTTTTAAAAAAAGTTTTGCGATGATTTCTCAACAACTACTGAATCAAATTCAATTAATTTTAATTATACAGTAATATAGAATTAAAATAAAAAATTTTTACCAAGTAGTTATTGAGAAATCATCACTAGAAGTTTTAAAGAAACTTTCAAATTTATTACTGTATTAATATTTTGTTACCGGCACAATAGATAATAATTCAACTTCCAAATTTAAAAATGTCCGGTTTGGGGTACATAGATACTACATAGATAGATGCACGCGTTATAAATAATTGGCCATTTTTGTAGTTGTCAACTTTTCGACCAATCACTAACCATAGCATTACAGTATATTTTACATTACTGCATTAATGCGACGATAGTGTAAAACTCTTCATTTTTTAAATGTCCAGCACTAGCACCAAAACGTTGCCCACTATTATAATCGATACAGATGTCAACGCTAATAATAATCCTCTCTCTTGTCCGATAATTCCAAGCCAACCATTAAACAGCCCTAAATTTGAATCAACGAGAAAGAAAAAAAGAAGCCGAATCACTGCAAGGCTATCACGTTTAAAATCAAAGGGTAATTCGAGTAGTGGCTCAAGTACAGACGAGCAAGGTAAAAAATTACACGATTCTTTACTGTTGCTTCAAAAATATGAATGCTTATTTATTATGATCTTCACGTTGCTTTTTTTGTAATATAGAACCTACACCACCCGTGAATCAAAATGTTCCAATCATAAACAGACTATCACGAAAAATTCCAACCTCTGTAAAATCAACTGCGTCGACACGACGCATTTTTCGTAAGCAACGAAAACACAAATCTAAAAATAAATTGCGTAACATCATGAAGTTTAATTCTCAAAATAAACTTGACGTGCTGCCACCCTTTCCGGTAGACCAAGCAAGTATCCCAACTTCACCGGCGGATAGACTTTCAATACAAATGAACCTTGAAGCTGTACCCAAATATCATGATTATCAACATATATTTTTATTTAAAAATATAGCGTGCAAGGATGAGTCTACCCAGTTTTTACTTTTCCAAATCTCTAATTACGTACTGTATTATAGCTGCGTTGATAAGATAGAAGATCGGGAATGGTGTATCGAATTCTTTAAAGCTCCTACAAATGAATTGTCAAACAATGAAAGCTTGGAGCCTGACGACATTGAGAGGGATCGGTCTGGATTTTTTGATGATAATAATAATCAAAGAAATATTAGAAAAGTACAAAATACTAGAAAGCATCAATTATCAGACAAATTTCGTAATATCGAGTATAAAGAAATTGGACCTATTGAAAATGTAGTTATAACGGACAATATTAATCCTGCATTAAAAAATGATAATGGTAAAGTGCACTAAACGCGTCCCAACACTTATGTCAGTTAAACTTAACAAATATTATCATATGTAATTTCAAATAGATCTAGAGATAAAACTGTTTGAAATCAAAATTAATGAAGAAAGTTTCACTTTGGGTGCTGCTCTCATTGAAGATAAATCGCGGTTCATAAACAGTATAAGATTTTTTGCAACAGAAAAAAAAAGACCAATTAGAGGTAAATTATTTTTATATCAATATTATTTTACACAATTATACATTGAGTTATTATTTATTCTTATATAATTCATAGATTTACTGAAATATGGTGTTAAAGGACAGGTTGCGAATACTTTTTCTGATTCCGAAGCTGAAAGTACAGACAGCGAAGATGAAGATGATCTGAGGTAAGATAATTTTATATAAATATTTCTCAGTGTGCTGCCCTTTGTGCTCATAATCAGTATTAAATGCATTTAATATAGTGATGTTGCTGAACTCATCGAAGAACTATCTGAACGATGTTCTCAGCACGAAAAAGAATTTTTTATTTGGCGTGTAAGTTGAAAACTATTGAAAGCTCAAAATATTATCGGTTTGGTTTTTTTATATATGCCTAATATTTATTATGTTTAATAGAATGAAATCGACCAAAAGGCAATACTCCTTGATTCGAATATACGTAAGTTCCGCAGTTTAGACGAGCTTGCTAAGGTTTGAAAGAATTAGTTATACAAAATATTTGATTTATTATGAGTATATTTTTTGTATCAAATAAAATTATAAAATAAAATTATAATTTTCATTACTTCATAAAGGAACTTAATGAAAAAATCTCAGTAACCGGCTCCAGGTCAACAAAAGAAATGGAAGAAACTATCGATATGACAAGCCGAGCTACTGAAAATATTGTTGAAAAACTAGCATCGATACATACGCGGATTCGAGATAAAAGTGAGATTTTAAAACAACACCAACAAGCGGTAAGGGAAGGTTTTAATTTAGTAAAAGTGTCTTGTTTGAGGCATGAATCGATCAGTATAATCAACCCAAGTTATGCTAAATAGTTAAGTTATGTTTAGATGAGTATTAGGGTCAGAATAAATTGATCTCTTTCTATGATCAATCTTTGCAAGAAAATAGAGTTCTAATCCGGATAAATCCGTCATCCGTATCTAATTATCCGGATAATTCAAGTCGCTCAGATATCTGGATAATCCGACAGGTATTCGGATAATTATCCGGATATCAATAGTAAACGGATATAAAACGGATATCCGGTGGATAAATGGATGAACGGGATAATGGAAAATTTTTTACAAAGCAATCCCCGAAATTCTTGGTTGGAATGCATCGGCGTTAGGGTTTGGGTTAGCTGTAGTAGTTAGCAGGAGCTATAGTAAAATTATCAGCTGGGCACTTTTTACTTAATGAACGACTATTTCATTAGTAAAATTTTTAGTGATCTTTGTTAAAATTGACAAATTCCGGCCCATCCGACCAGAGTTCCAATACATCGACCAGGAATTTTTGGGATTGCCCTGTATGAGTTTAATGGATAGGAGCACTAGATACGACCAGTGTATAAAATCAATGTGCTCAGTGCACGGTTTTTTTCTTTACATATAAAATTTTACCTTGTGCACGTTGTGCATATGTTTTGTAATTCGAATTTTATACACTGGATACGACCGATTTAGCGTTACACTTGATCATGTGATGTGATTATACTATTCATGCTTCGAGCAGGATTCCCATTTTTCCTTGGTTTCCTTATTTTTTTGATGGCCTTTTCGATTTATTGCATTTTATGCAGCTTAAGATGTTACAAACCCGAGTTGAATTGGAAAAAAGAACCGAGAGGGTACTTGCCAAGTATCGAAATGGACTAGGAGGTAGTTTTGACGCATTACTATGTGATATTTTAAATTCCTTGCAAATTAGGATCATAGACTAATAATTTATTTTCCCCCCTTTTTACCTTTTTAATATAGTCATCATACTATGCATTTTTGTCATAATAACTATTACATTGTTGTTGCGCGTCGGACTTAAAAATCACGCAGTGCATTATAGTTTGTATTCCTAAAAAGTGAAAATAATTATGATAAACGATAACGTACTGTACGTTGTGTCACGAAAAAAAGAAACAATTCACTGATATATTTTATATAATTTAAGGTTATACTGGTTGTACATATAATTACCAAGATTAATTTGTTATGACTTAATATAAGCTCAATCAAAAGCTAATATTTTTATATTAATTAATAATTAGTAATATGAGTATTCTTTAAATTCTTTAAATGCATATTAATATAATATTGAATTAGTATATCTTAAATACGTCGATTATATATTCAACAACAGATTAATTAAGAAAAAGTAAATTGTTTTCAGATATAAGATGCTTAATCCAAATAGTTGCTTCAAATGTAAGTATTTCGATTTTTGAAGGTATAGATTTATTCAGTTTACGTAAAATGTGAAATGTTAAATTTTTAAGATTTTTGGTAGCGTTCCCACAAAAAATTGTTCACCAGGGACGTAAAGTCGGCCAGCATTATAATCCGCAAATTCTGGCCAAATTAATATCAGCTATGCATTATGATCAGTGTTATAAATTCAAAAATTTTTATTGACACAAATGCAAAAAAATGTGCACAAGACAAAAAAAAATTTATATGCGCGCTATATATACGGAGAGCGCTATTATAACATACAGTCAGGGTTGCATAATTTACGTCAGTTATTTAAACTGACAGTAAGTTAAATTAAAATGACGTAACTACGTAACTTACATATTTTAGTACTAAATAAGAATCAGCTTCTATATGATTTAGTATTCTTAATACCAGCTGAATTTAATTTCAAAGTTGGCTTGCATTAACATTATGTATTTGTAACTTACATGAAGCTATGTAACTTACAATGTAACTTACAATGTAAGTTACATTGTCAGGTAAGTTATCCCAACCCTGCATACAGTAATTGAGTTTTATAATGTTAATACCCATAGTGTAATATATTATAATAGTTTCGAAATTTTGGAATTTTTATTTTTGTATTTAAAATTTTTTATTAAATAAATACACCATTACGTGATTTGTTAAATTATAATTATACAGTACACCCTCTCAAATCCGATACGCATTGTGGACAGCTTTTGCATCGGTTTTGAGAGGTTATCGGATTTAAAAATTGATTTAAAATACCAATAGCCTACTGTCACGTGATATATAATCTGTTGCACAAAACCCGATCTTAGCCAATCAAATCGATTTATATTACCTGTCAAAACTGATATCTTATAAATATTTGGTCTTTTGGGTATTGGTTACAAACATTGTGGATCAATTTTTTATCGATTATAGCAGGTAATCGGTTTTGACAAGATCAGTTTTGGGATGGTGTACTGTATAGTTATAAATTATAAATGTTACTGTATACAGTCTTCCCTTTCTATAATCACACCATTGGGATTATAGTGACTTTTTTTAAAAATATGCTTATAAAGTATTGTGCTTATATAAAGATTTTTTTTTATATATTTATAATAGTTGGTTTTAAAATAGATGTGCTTATAAAGAGGTTTTTATATGATGTGCTTATATACAGTATTGGCAATTTGACAAAATTATTAAATTGAATATCATAAAAATGTATCATTTTTTGTTATAAAAAACTGATTTTATTATGTTTTTGTAAAATTTACATGCTATTTATTTGTCATATTTGTCATTTTGCCAATACTGCTTATATAGAGGATAACTATAGAGGGGGGAAGACTGTATACTATAATAAATAAAATTTTCTTTATAAAAAAATTTTAATTTACAAATTATAAAAATTAATTGTTTTTTTTCTTATTAGTAATATGTTTTATTATCTATATTGTATAAGGTATTGATTTGCTATATATCATATAAAAAATACTTTATATATAGTATTCTCTACTTTTAATAGATAGGATTTACTCATACAGTGTGGGACAGCAAAAAACATCCAACTTTTTTAAAAAAAGCGCCAAATTTGAGAATTTATAATGATTCTGATTGGCTAATTT